TGTGCCTTTGGGAGGCTGAGGTGAGTGGATTGCCTGAGCCCGCAGGTTCGAGACCCACCTGTGCAAATTGGTGAGACCTCATCTCTACAATAAATCAAAAAAATTAGCCAGGTATGGTAGCACACGCCTATAGTTCCAGCTACTTGGAAGGCTGAGGCGGAAGGATAGCCGGAGCCCAGCAGGTCGAGGTTGCAGTGGCCGGGAGCAGCCAATGCACTCCAGTCTGGGCGACAGAGTGAGACTCTAACTCAAAACACACAAAAAAAAACACAAACAAAAAAACTCTATCATTATGCTTTTCAAACTATTCTTAAAATAACTGATTTTATTATTTGCCTTCCCCTTTAGACTGTGTCTGGGTCATTTTTGTATCACCAGCACCAATGGAAATTGTCTGAATAAACAAATAAATAAAATATCAAATACTAGAAAATGATTTGAGTACACTGAATAGAAAAGATTTTTCAGATTTTTTACTCACATTTTTTCTGACACTAGCAGTTTTGCACACTGAGTTGACGCCTATAATCCTAGCACTTTGGGAGGCCAAGGTGAGAGGACTGCCTGAGTCCATGGATTTGAGACCAGCCTGGAAAACCTCACAAGACCTCATCTCTATAATAAATCAAAAAATTAGCCAGGCGTGGTAACACACACCTATAGTTCCAGCTACTTGGAAGGCTGAGGCAGAAGGATCACCTAAGCCCAGCAGGTCAGGCTTGTGGTGACCTTGAGCATGCCAGTGCACTCTAGCCTGGGTGACACAGTAAGACTCCGAATCAAAATAATAATAATAATAATAACAGCTAATATTTGAATGTTAATTATGAATCAGGCACCATCCTGAGCACCCATCATAAAGTTGTCTCATTTAACCTTTCACAATCCTATGAGGCAGGTAACATCAGCTCCAATGTAAAGTATTATAATTACAAAGAAAAAAACACTATAATCTCATCATCCATTGGCAAGTAGTATTAGCATAGTGACATATTTCTTCCCTATTTTCATCTTACCAAACTTGGTAGTTTTTGGGCTGTTCCTCAATTATTGCAGTGATGTAGTTCATTTCCTCATGGAGGTCTTTCTGAAGTGACTTTAAGAGAACTCTCCGAAAATGCCTATAGCAAACAAACATTCAAAGTCTCATTACTCCACATAAGTTGCCTATTAAAAGTAACAAAGCTGCCGGGCTCAGTGGCTCAGCCTGTAATCCCGCGCCTTTGGGAGGCTGAGGTGAGTGAATTGCCTGAGCCCGTGGATTCGAGACCCACCTGGGCAGCCAGACCTCATCTCTACAATAAATCAAAAAATCAGCTGGGCATGGTAGCGCATGCCTATAATTCCAACTACTCGGAAGGCTGAGGCGGAAGGACCGCCGGAGCCCAGCAGGTTGAGGCTGCGGTAGCCGGAAGCGGCCACTGCACTCCAGTCTGGGTGACAGAGTGAGACTCCAACAGAAAAAAAAAAAAAAGTAACAAAGCTAACCGGGCTCGGTGGCTCAGCCTGTAATCCCGTGACTTGGGAGGCTGAGATGAGTGGATTGTCTGAGCCCATGGGTTAGAGACCCACCTGGGCAACTTGGTGAGATCTCATCTCTACAACAAATCAAAAAATTAGCCGGGTGTGGTAGCGCAAGCCTATAGTTCCAGCTACTTGGAAGGCTGAGGCGGAAGGATCGCCGGAGCCCAGCAGGTTGAGACTGAGGTGGCCGAGAGCAGCCACTGCACTCCAGTCTGAGTGACAGAGTGAGATTCCAACTCAAAAAAAAAAAAATAGCACATAGATGTTTCAGGAAATGTACAAATGCACTTGAAGTTTCTTTGGGCTATATAGTCAATTATTTCTTAAAAGTTAAGAAACTGGGTTGGGCACAGTGGCTCAAGCCTATAATCCCAGCACTTTGGGAGGCCGATCCGAGAGGACTGCATGAGTCCACGGGTTCAAGACCAGCCTGGGCAACTTGGTGAGACCTCATCTCTACAATAAATTTTCAAAAATTAGCTGGGTATGGTGGTGTGCACCTGTATTTCTAGCTACTTGGAAGGCTGAGGTGGAAGGATTGCCTGAGCCCAGCAGGTCGAGGCTGCAGTGGCCGTGAATGTGCCATTGCACTCCAGCCTGAATGACAGAGGGAGACTCTGACTCAAAAAACAAACAAAAAATTGCATATTAAAGACATAAAATAATGAAATATATTGAGGATTCCAGTTAAACAAAGTAGATTAAATAAATGGTTTTATTCTTACTCCCTAATAAAACCCCACTAACATGACAATTCATTTCAATAGAAACATGATACTTTATATATATTAGAGAGTCTGGGAGACAAATTACTTATTGGCACAAAGAAAATGAAACTAAACAAGACATTCTGTTAAAGGGAATGTAACTATACTCTAAAACATGAGTCAGCATAAACTGATTACTCATCTGTGATAGAAGGAGAGTAGTGGAGAATTAACTGTCTTTCATAGAAGAAATAGATAAAAAAATAAAAAATAACTAAGCATATTATTTTATTATGTAGAATAAGAAGGTTAATTGAAGAAAAAACACCTAAGGGTTGCTGCCTCTTGAAGTGGGATTGGTGGTGGGAGGGAATAAGCCAGATTGCTACTTTTCATTCAGCTTCTGACTTTTAAACCTGTGTGAATTATTTTTATCAAAACTAAAGTTCAGTTAAAACAAAGAAAAGAAAAAAAAAAGAAAAGCCATTCAAACTAAAGCATGAGACAGTTAAGCAGGAAATGTTATTGGCGTATATTACTTACCACACTGTGTAATTGGCTGCATTTAACTCAATAGCATCCCGGGTTAGTTTGAAAGCTCGTTCACTTCTTTCATCACGCTGCAGAACAGCCCGGAAATAATCATACACATCTCTAACTGTAGACAGAACACACAAACACATGAGAACTAATTTTCTTACTTAAAGCTAGCACTGTAATAAAAAATATACCTGCATGGAATGCTATTTATATAACTTATACCAATAAACAAAATGATTGTGGCTGCCACCCTGATAATACTGTAATATCACAGCCACAAAAAGCACGGGCTACATATGTACAGCCATGATTACAGCTTAGATGCATATATGTAGGTTAACGTTTGACTCCAAATCTCCCAAAAACCTTATATATAAAAATAAAGAGTGCATATATTCAAATATATTCATATAGCTGTTTTCCTCAAATTTTATTTAGACCAGTTTTTTTTGTTTGTTTGTTTGTTTGTTTTTTTGAGTTGGAGTCTCACTCTGTCGCCCAGACTGGAGTGCAGTGGCCGCTTCCGGCCCCGCAGCCTCGACCTGCTGGGCTCCGGCGATCCTTCCGCCTCAGCCTTCCGAGTAGCCGGAATTACAGGCGCGCGCTACCACGCCCGGCTGATTTTTTGATTTACTGTAGAGATGAGGTCTCGCTGCCCAGGCGGGTCTCGAACCCGTGGGTTCAGGCAATCCACTCACCTCAGCCTCCCAAAGGCACAGGATTACAGGCTGAGCCACCAAGCCCGGCTTGTTTGTTATTTTAGTTGGAGTCTCACTCTGTCGCCCAGACTGGAGTGCAGTGGCACGCTCCCGGCCACCACAGCCTCGACCTGCTGGGCTCCGGCGATCCTTCC